CGAGCTCACCCGGTTCGCCGAGTTTACTCCGAGGGCAAGGAGACCGAGGTCGACTTCAGCACTTCCGCCCCGGCGACCTGAGCGACGCCTCCAAAGGACGCCCTCGGCATCCCCCCCCGGCGCGCCCCCCGCCCTGGCTCATCAACCAGCAGCGCTTCGGGCCCCCGCCCTCCCTATCCCACCCTCAAGATCCCCGGCCTCAACGCCCCGCCCCCGCCCGGCGGCTCCTGGGGCTTCCACCCCGGCGGCTGGGGCAAGCCCCCCGTCGACGAGTTCAACCGGCCCCTGTACGGCGGCGACATTTTCGGCCTCGCCGGTCAGCCCGGCGGGCCAGGCGGCCCAGGCGGCCAGCAGCAGCAGCAGCAGCAGCAGCAGCAAGCGCAGCAGGCCGCCCTGCCCCAGGCCGCCGGCGAGCCCGTCGAGAAGACGCTCTGGGGCGAGCTCCAGCCGCGGGACGAAGAGTCAGAAGAGGAGGACGAGTCGGAAGACGAGTCGGACGAGGACGACGAGGCCGACGAGGCCGGTGACGACACGGCCGCGGCCGGTCTCGAGACGCCCGCGGGCCTCGCCTCGAGCGTGCCGACCGACTACGCCGGCCCGGGCATCGAGACGTCCGTCGCCGGCGAGATGGACCTCCGCAAGGCGCGCCGCGGCTTCGACACGGAGGAGAGCACGCACCCACGCGCCGCCTACCAGGTCATCCCCGAGCGGCAGCAGCGCACCGAGGGCTTCTTCGGCAGCGACCGCGTCTACGACCTGCAGCAGCAGCACGGCGGCGTGCCCGTGCTCGGCCAGGACGACGACAGCGGCCGCAAGCGCAAGAAGCCCGGCGACATTGACGTCGCCCTCGACCCCGACAGCCTGCAGAGCCACGACGGCATCTCCAAGGACGAGCTGCGGCGCCGCTTCGAAGAGGGCAAGAAGGAGGACGGCATCGGCGCCAAGTGGGCCTACGAGGAGGACTTGTCCGAGATGATCGCCCAGGAGTCGAGGAAGAGGCAAAAGGTCGACGAGAAGCGCACCGACAAGAAGAAGGAGAGCAAGTACAGGTTCTAAGGGGAGACGCCATGCAAGGTGTTTTAATGAGGGGGAGCGGGAAGAGAATGTATTGTACAGTTTATTTGCGGTTGGGAAAGTAGACTCGGCGGGCTGACGGCAGGCGTTTTCGGGGAGACAATGGCGCTCCAGTCTTCAGTCTTGACATGAGATATATACCGGCTTCGGCTTCCGAAGAGAGTTTGTCAGACCTCATTTTGCGCACCTTATGATGTGCAAGGCTTCCTAATGGTCATTTCACCTTCATCACAGACCACTTGAGTCATGCCGGATTCATGCTTCTCTTACAAGTCGACAACATCTATAACCCCCCCCCCCCCCTCCCCCCTTTTTACTAGCAGAACGAATAAGAAGGAACCTGGGGAAACGCCGGCCATGCATGCGAAAAACAAAACCGGCCATGCTTGGGATTGCTTCTGAGATCCATTCCCGTCATCCCTTTGCCTCCCTAGCCTTCTTCGACGCCACTCGCTTTCTGCTCGATACCTTGCGGCGCTGGATGACCTAAATCTGCTGCTCTGCTGGTATATCGATACAGACGTTGCAGAGCCAGGCTGGATCCTCGACGTCCATGCGCGCGTCGCGCTTGACGCAATCACGATGAAACGCTGGTTTTTTGCAATTCTGGGAGAAACAGTCAGCGCCGTCTTCAAGGGCGGCATGGGCATGGACGTACGGGATTCGCACACAGAAGCAGCCTAGGCCCCAGTATCTGTCTCGCACATGTCTGGCAGTTGGCCGCGCTTTTGCGCGGTGGAGACTCTACAGGCGATGCGTGTTGTTGCATTCTGGCCCCCGAGTTCTGCAGCGCGAGCTTCGCTGCACTGATAATCTGGAAGCCCTGCTTGATTGTCTGGTCATTCAGGGCATCCCGCGCGATAAGGTAGGATATATGTTTGCCGAACTCAATCATGCGAGACTCGGAGCAAACTAGCCACTCGGCCTTGTGTCGGAGGAAAGCCAGCCATGAGCTCGGTAGGTACACGTCCGAGGAGATGCGCTGGGTGAGCATGAACTCGTCCCATGTGGTCATAAACTCCCTTTCGTGGAATGGAATGTCCGAAAAGTCTTCAATGGCATCTCGGTGCCACTGCGTGAGCCATCTGTCGTCGGGTTTGTGCCTGATAAACGGCTTGCCCGGCTCCAGCGGCATCCGGCTGACGGGGTCGAAAAGCTGCTGTTTGGTGTATGGCACCGTGATGACTTTGCCCTTCCTCTGTAAACAAGTCAGCGCCATGTACGTGTTCGCCATCCTCCATTCATGTAGATACTAACCTTGACCACTTCGGAAGATGGTCCGTTGGCTGGAGAGTTCTTCACGTGCGTTTCAGCAAGCGCACTACTTTTTGGAAGCCCAAACGTTGACTTGAGCCAAGATTCGTCACTATTGCTGTTTTGACCAAACTGGAAGCCCTTGACAGTCTTTTTGAGCTCGTAGGTGCCATCTTCGTCAAAAGAAAAGGCCTCTATGCGATGCACGACCTGGAAATGGATGCTTTTGGCATGCGGGTCGCAGACGTAGTCATATTCGGGGTGCCGGTGCTCTAGATGCGCCTGTAGGTCGGCAAGCGTCATGTGTGACTGGCCGCACGTTATGCATTGGAAGTCTTCCAAGTTGACCTGTTCTGCGGGCAGGTCGTAGCAGACTTTTCCTGTTTCATCTCCGACCGTCGGCAAACTTTTCCTCTTGCGTCGCTTTTTATTCCTTCCAAGGGCTTTGTCACTCAAGTCTTTCAGGTTGTAGTTTTGCTTGTTGCCCCGGGTCCGAAGAGACCGATTTGGTGTGCCTTCGCCATCAGGCTCATCGTCATCGTCATCCGGGATTTCAATATTGTGGACGCCGTTGACCGAGCCAGGTCTCTGCATTGCGACGTCGTCGTCAACGCCGCGTGGCCTCGTCAGAGCCCGCGGGGGGGTGCCTTCGGCTCGGATGGAGGACTCGACGGCCTTCTCCAGAGGCTTCATGCCACCTGCATCAAACCCGGTAGACCAGCCGGCATCGATGTCGATGAGATAGTCGGTCGGCGTTAGTCTGACGGGCGACTTTCTCAGCTTCAAATCCACCATGGACCGCTTTTTGCTGAACAAGTCGGACAACTCTCCTGCCAATACCCAGTTCCGATAGTTGGTGCCAGGGCGAGGGGCAGGCGTTGTTGCATCGGCGGCGCTGGGGACGAGGCCCAGGGGCGGCCACTCGCCGGGGCCAGCGGCCTCTAGTTCGATGGAGACTTTGTAGA